AAACTATGGCAAGCAGTTTCAAATGCCATTCAGATGTTTTAGTTTAATCAATAAATCAATGAACACAAGACAGGTTTATCATAAACCACATCGAAAACGGACACAAAATCAGTAAGCAGTAGGATGGTGTGATCCTTCTTTAAAATGGAAAACAGAGACAAGAAACACAAAGATCAACTCTAGGATTTTGCCAACACATTTAGAGGACAAATTAACACTTATGAAAGTGACCCATATCAAAGCAAGACTAGGTTATTTCAATTAGACTTTCACAATTTGTTGTGGTACATATGCAGTTTAGCCCAATGCAGACCACCTTATCGAAGGTGCAATAAAGTGTAGCACAGCCAGAAATTCTGGTAAAGCATGAATAGGACAACCATTGGAAAAACACAGTCAATTCAGAGCGTATTTACACCAAAACCATGGGAACATTTAAAAAATATCCTATTGCTTTACTGTGGTAAAGCCACAAATCAGCACAACAAATCAAAAACAAAAGAGATCTGTTACTGAACCTATAAGGCACTCTTGTGTGTTAAAGCACTAAATAGGAATAAAACTAATTAGGTAGCTTACCCTTGGCTAGAAATCAGTGTCTTTAAATTGATGTGACGTAACTCTTATTCATTCACCTTGTTAGCCCAGCCGAAAGGAAACTAATCAGATTGCTTTAACAGGAAGAGAGCTCCTGGTCAGAAGAGTTGTAAAACTCCATCTCTCTAAACTCTCCCAGCCCCCTGGGGACACATGACACTGCTCTCCTGTGTCTAATCAGTCCTTCGGATGGGAATCCTTAGCACAGAAAATACTCTCTTCAAGAAGGTATCTTTAGGAATACATATATATATTTGAATACAAATGGTCATAACTGGTCAAGAGAGCTCAAATGCGCATTAAATGGCCCGAAGCCAAAAACAAAACACCAAGCAGTACAATGTATTTTCAAATTAAGAAACAGAAAGACAATTTGTTCTACATAAAACACAGAAATTACATTACAGGACTCTGCCTGTAGGCTATGGGATACTTTATATGCGGTCATAAATTCAGTTCACTTGGTTTAAAGAGTGCACATTAATTCTGTTATGTGTTATGAAAACATATGAAAGCCCTTCTAAACTACTGGCATTCATAGAATCCTTAATGAACTGCCCATTAAGACTAATGAGTGCATTTCTTGAGGAATCGTTCTCTTTTACACATCACCCAGCACGGGGCTTTTCTGGGTCTCCTACTCATTCCGCTCCAAAAACAGGATTTAATTGCAGCCTGGAATTTTTCGGTTCAGTTCTGAAGCCGGTGCACAATGGAAAGGGCATTAGCACCCCTTCACACACACTCAGCATTGTTCACCCAGTGCAGTGAGAGTGGAGAAAAAGAAATGTCACTCCAACAGCTTGATGCTTAGCAGAGGCCAGTGTCTTCCTAATCAAGCCTCATCGAGTAAGATCGGATTTGGGACAATGCTTGGCACGGTCCTTGGGAACACCATTCATAGC